TATTAGAATCTAAATACTAGTTAAGACCTGGTAGTACTATTGTCACACTATTTGAAATCTGTCTCGGGTTTTAGTAAATAAAAAAGACTGGAGTAACACACTAAACACCATTCTATAGGAGGTGTTTCATTTTAGTTAAGCCACCACTGATATTTCAACATGTTAAAAAGTTCACTGGAACTAGCATCACAACCTTATAATTAATGAACACTGCACATCACACCTAAATACTGCAGAAAATCTGGTAATAGCTTTAAGCAAAGGGTTGGTTAAACTGATTTTTTATGAAGATATTTTTTGGTCTGTTTTTAATCCATACCCTCATCTCCTAAGGAACCATCATGTGTAGAATTTATCTAATGATCCAAATCCAATAGGAGGGCCCCTTAGAAAAGGAACATGCATTTTGTTCACAATTCACAATGACCGATGCATTCTTACATCTACACAGAGAAAAATATTCAGTTTACATAAGATTGAGGCTATGGAGTCATATTTCGGTTTATTTAGGTGAGCTTTAGTTCTTTGATACTGTCAACAACAAAAAACCCAACAAACGTTATCAGCACATTATCACTCTTTAAGACTGAGGAATTTGGGATGATATTGATATGAATTTGACTTTTGTGGCCAATTCCCATTTTATTATCAGCTCTAAGTTTTATTAAATATTTTTTAATCTTTGAACATCTACAGTGCTGGCATTGCGCCTCTGGTTCATTTAAAAGCAAACCATGTAATGGTCTTTTAGTTTTTTTTTCAGCTATTGGCTGTAACTGACAAATCATCTACTACTTTATCACGATCCCTACATCACTGATGATTTCTGAAGCATGTGAATAGTTCCTCCAAAGAAATTTCTCCTTATCCATGGAAACACTTATGTCTGCCGCATCCACCCATTAGATTGTAGCCTACAATCCATCTCAGAAGTTTAAAATAATTTTGCAATGCCTTAGGGGCTGAGATTGCCTTTAACTGGGGTTATTTCTAAACCTAAGAACAAACTGAACACAAGAATGAGGAACTCCAAACCAGACTGCACTACCTCTGTTTTTTTAACCCACCATTTTGTAGTAAGCACCTTGAATCAAATGTGTGCACAGCAGACACATCTTAACTGCAACTGGACTTTCTCCTTTAGAGATTCCATTTGTGTGAACGGAAAAAAACTTAGTTCACTCGTTTTAATACCATCAGCTGTTGCTCTCCACCTGTGAACTATGCCATGGCCTAGCCCTATTCTATATTTTATAAACACTTCATTTTTAGAGACTTAAACCAAACTTATTTTGACAAGAAAAACATTTTCTCCAGTGTACTATAGAGATCTTAAACTAATCTGAGAATTTCTGATTATTCCTGAGTTTTTCTGAATATCCCCTTTAATGATTTAATAACCAGAGGAATTACATCTAATCAGTTACCTAAAAACCACCAGCCAGCTGAATATTTAGTCCCACACACTGTACAGCCTTCAAATACCTATTTTGCTTTAGCTTCTCAGGATATGCTATAGATCAATTTTTACACCTTAGGTGTTAGATTAGGTATTTAGCTGTAACTTTGACTTATCTAAGGTAAATGTCACATTTTTAAAGAGCTTGTTTAAACATCTGATCCCGATTTTAGCTTTCATACCTTATCCACACACAAAAGTTTGGCTAGACAAAGCTAATTATCCACTCGAATGCAAATCAAGCAATATGAAAAACCTTTTAATTGCTGTTTTTGTAAAATTATTATAACTGAACCTAAACATGCCTGTAGAAAAAACATATCCATACAGTAAATTTGTAAGTTTGATAAATTTACATTTCTTCCAAATGTTTAAATTGATACATTTATTCTTTTAATTGAAAGTTTAATATTTCTTTTTACCTTCATTTTTTCTAGGCATTCGTTCACAAGTTTTTCAGCATTTAATTCAGCTAAGGCAATGAATAATACTGCAATGAACCAAACAGACTGTCCTGAGGTAAAGGTCCCTTTTCCTGTCTTCTTCACCGTTGGAATTGTCAGCCTGGCGGAGAACCTCTTGGTTGTGGTGGCTGTCATACGCACGAGAAACCTCCACTCACCCATGTACTGCTTCATGTGCAGCTTGGCTGCCTTCAACACCATTGCCAGCTTGTCAAAAACCTGGGAAAACCTGATGATAGTTTTTGCTGATGTGGGGCACCTGAAGAAGAGAGGTCCTACTGAGACTGATCTAGATGATGTGATGGACTCCCTACTTTGCATGTCATTTGTTGGCTCAATATCCAGTTTTCTGGCCATCGCTGTTGACAGGTATGTAAGCAGGTCTCAGATTTGCTCATAAACATGTATCTTGTTAGTTTTATCATGTATATTGCTAATCTGTTAACCAGATTAGATGGAGTAGAAGGCCTTCCTTCACATGGTGGATTATAAATGTGTGAACAGAGGCCATCTATTGAGGACAGTGTTCTTGTCTGTAAAAGATACACAGAATAAAGACACATCCTATAGCCGGACTGATAGAGAAGGGCTATCTGTAATCCTGTGGCATAGAGACAAGAGGCACAAAGGTCGGGGCATGGATGGGGTGTCAGTTTCCAGACAATTTCTTTTTGGTTGGTGCTACAACAAGTTGTTGTTCACTACATACCAAAATAAATAGTTTTACATAATGAGATAAAGTACAATTTAACATTATTGCCACTAGTTATAAAACTAAGAAAGTGAAGTGTACGGAAGTTATCATTCAGAGTTGTAGGAAAATGTTCCTTTAATTGGGTTTTGCATTAAAGAATCTGTCCTTAACATTTTTCCTGCTTTACTTTAAGTAGTGTTAAAAATAGTGCTTTATGAACAGGACCACCCAAGAGGACTATTTAAAAAGAGAGGAGCTTACACAGATATTAGGAAAGCACTAAAACACAGGGAGCAGCACTTCCAGACCCAGTGCCTTGAAAAACAAAGTTTTATTTCACAACGGTCGTGCGATCTATGACAGAGCAATTAATGCAATGGATAACCTTAAAATAAGATAGTTCACACTACACAGCTCCAGAGTTGAGGCTGTCAGGAGCCTGCACCACCGCATGACAGAAAAGCCAGCAGTGTATTAGGCAATCTTTCCTGTATTTATTCTATTTAAGCCGACAACTAAAGCGCAGAAATAATGTTTCATTAATTGTTTGCCCTCTGAGAACCCC